ATGGTGTTTCATCATGCATCCGCCTTTTCCGCACGGTGGAGCTTTGCACAGTAATCGACGATGTTTGCCTCGCAGACAGCGGTAGCAGATATTGTACTTCTTTGCTACTTCCCATCTGTCATTTGTGGACAGAGCGGCGTATGACTTGCAATCGGGCAGTTTGTGTTCTTGTTTGCATTGAGGGCAGCGTTCTTCATATGGTTTCTTGCTTGTGGCGAAGGCACGTTCTATTTTTCTCGGTCTTCGCTCTCTCGTTTCGCTGTCCTCTGCGATGAACTCCGGCAAGGCATACGCGCTGCATTTATCCGCTTCTTCGTTTAAGAACATTGATATCTTCTTAAGCTCTGGGATATCTTCTTTCTTTCTGGCTGCATAGTCGTACCATTTGCTTTTCAATATGGGCGTGAGTTTGTCTGTGATAACTCGCGTCATTTCTGGACTATGCAGATAGTGTGCTTTCTTGAGTGCTTCCACGGTGCCCACTACGTTCGCTATGCGATTTGCGAATATGCATAGCTCCCTGGGATTGTCCGTAACTTTGTTCAGCAGCTTCAGCTTCTCTATTTCCAAGTGAATTAACGCTTCTGGTCGTCCGAATCTCCTTTCCAAAGCTTCTATTATAATTCTGGGATCTGGTTGGCTTATAAGTAGGCAACCTGCGGCTTCTTTTGCTGTCCCTTTTAAGCTTCGGCGTATTCTCGCTATGTTTTCGTTCGCCGTGAAGTACTTTGAAGATTCTTCGTACGTTGTCTTGAAGCTGAGCCACTCCTTGCTGCTACCATTGAATGAGGGCAGCTCTTGTATATATTTCGGCGGCTCCCTTGTGCTTCGTACTGCTTGTGATAGAGCAGCGGCTAAGGTAGCGACGTCGATTTGCTGCTGCGCCTGTCCATAGTCTTCTTTCTGCGGCGCGGTATGTTGCGGAGCGTATTGCGGCGCACACTGTTGAAGTACGGGTGGTGCGATCTGCAGTGCTGGTTGCGGCGCGAAGTACGACGTGGGTTGCGGCGCAGGCTGCGGCGCGGGTTGTGGCGCGGGTTGTGGCGCGGGCTGAGGCGCGGGCTGAGGCGCGGGTTGCGATGTAGGTTTTTCTTGCAACCATGTACTAATGCGCACTGATGCCAAATCGTCTTCTATTTCTTCATCTTCATCGGTTGATCCGGCTTCTGCTTGTAGTCGCTGCACGTGTATTTCTTGCAATTCTGTTCTTGCTTGCAACTGCGCCTGCTCGAGCTTGAGTTCGGCTAACCGCTCTTTCGCCTCTAACTCCGCGAGGAGTCTCTTGCGTGAGGCTACGGAGCGGCGTGACCTAGTCTCGCCGGGCTTCAATGTGCACTGCGATCTTTGATCACCCTCTTGCTGGGTTTCTTCCGTTGCGGTTGTTCTATCGGTTGCCGAGGTAGCGGTCGTATCGCTGACCGTTGTGGTTTCGCTAGTGGTGTTTGTTGAACCACTAGCGGCTGAGTCGCCCCCGGAGGCCTCTTCTGTGGCCCCCTGGGTTGTTTGTTCATCCTTGCGACGCTTCGATGATTCTCCGTTGTTACTACGCGTAATCACCATTTTTCTTCACAATAATATTTTTTCGTTCTTGCGGTTTGCTTCTTTCTTCCGGCAATACCAAGACCGATATTGTCTTTTTCTTCTAGTAATCCGGCTTCTCGAAGGACCATTAATATTACGGATCGCCGTAATGCCGTGCGAAAAATGGAATAAAACGCGCTGGTCTTGCTTTTAACTGGAGGCAAGCGGCGGTGAGGAGGAACTTGTACTTTTTCTTTTCTTGCTGGTGCCTTTTCGGTGGCTGGAGAGCGACTGCTGACCCTAGTTTTTTTTTTTTTTTTTTTTTGCGCCCGAAGCAATTGGAAAAGGGCTACCACTGAGGGAGGCGGAAAATGCATTATGCATACCACGACAGCCGGTCTGTCCTGGTTATGTGGGACTCACTGCCTACCGGGGGACCTAAGTGATACCCACTAAAAACCGCCTTTGGGGACTGGCAACTAGCTCTATTAAAGCTGCATATGCCGTATCTAAAGCGACCCTCTTTTGGGAAAAGAGGGCGCAGACGGCTAAGTGCCGTTTAGGGACTGCCTACGAAGGCATATTATTAATTTTAACTAATTTTTAATTTAATTAGGATTGGCCTGAGCCGCCAGGAGGCAGTTCAGGTCGTTTGACAACTTATTTGGCGGGTCCGAGAGAGTGTTTCTCGGCCTGCGGACGCTATAGCGAGAAGGGAGTGGGGCGGTATAAGTAACTGCCTCACGAATAAGTGTGTTAGTATGCGACTCTGATACTTTAAAGAAGTTTTCAGAGAATTTTTTAAGACATTGCTGGATTGTTGGGATTTCTAAATCCCGGTGAAGGTCGGCATTACGGACGTACCAAGGTGCGTTCGTAGCTCGACGACAGAAGAGGTTTTGAACTACTTGGAGTTCGTTAATAATTTTATCGTTAGCGTGTGCAAAAATAGGAGCCGAGTAAGTCATAACCGGTCGTATACAAACCTTATAGAGGGTTCGCTTATTTCGCAATGACATTTTGCTATGTCTGCCTAACATACTGTTAAGCCGACCTAAATAGAAACGTGCTAGACGCGTTACTCTTTTGACATGAGACTCAAAAGTAAGCCTATAGTCAAGGGTGACGCCTAAATATTTTGCTGACATGTGCCATGGGACAGGGGTCCCTAGCATTCGTATAGGTGGAGTATTTTTCTTGTTTTTATTACGGCGTCTTTTAATATCGAATTGAACTGCGGAGCTCTTCTCCGGGTTCACATCGATACGCCATTTTTGGAACCAGTCTCCTAGGTCATCGACTGACTTTTGGATCTTGTTCCTTGCTGAAGATATTCTAGGACTTTTGAAGTATAGTGCAGTGTCATCTGCGAAGAGTGAGAGCTGTACACCATTCGACGGGATAGGAATGTCGTTGGTGTACAAGATGTACAGGAGGGGAGCTAGTACTGATCCTTGAGGAACACCAGCTTTAATGGGGCGCTGAGAGGATAACGTGCCTTCGTGTCTAAAACGAAAGGTACGATGTTGTAAATAAGAGGCTACGAGACGTACTAGACGATCGGAGAGTCCTATCCTATATAATTTGAAAATAAGGCCTTCATGCCAGACTCGGTCGAAGGCTTTGGCAATGTCGAAAAAGACCGCGATTGTCTTTAGTCGACGTGGATAAAAACCGCTGAGGATATATTCCACAATGCGGTGTACCTGTTGTGGACACGAGTGTTTTGCGCGGAAACCAAATTGGTGTGGGATGACAACGGGGTCACCGTCTGTGGGAAACAAATGGCGCCTCATTCGATTTTGAATGACTCTTTCAAAGAGTTTGCCCATGGCCTTTAGGAGGCTAATGGGACGATGACTGGAGGGGAGGTTAAGAGGCTTGCCTGGCTTGGGAATACCAATGACAATTGCCTCTTTCCAAGAAGTGGGAAAGTAACTAAGATTAAAACAGGCGTTAAAGATAATAGCTAAGAGGGTTAACACCTGCTCTGGAAAGTATTTAAGGGCTTGGTTGGATATGCCATCCGCGCCCGGAGATTTTTTGGGCTTAAGTCCTTTGATGAGGGACGAGATCTCATCATTGGACACAGTGATAGGGTCAGAGGTTGTGGGGGGTGAGTTCCGGCGGCGGACCTCATCCTCCACTTCCTGAATATGTGAGGGGTCGACAGGTTGAGAGCTAGGAGAGCATTGTGCGGCAATGCTGTCTGCAAAGCACTCAGCCTTCTCGTCGTCCTCGAAGGCAACCGTACCGTCGGGGCGGGAGAGAGGGGGAGTGTGAGTTGTAGCGTCTATACGGAGGGCTCTAGCCATCTGATAGTACGCTGTATGTGAGGGAGATATATTCTCCATGAGTTCACTCCTTTGGAGCTCTCGAAATTCATAAAGGTGCGAACGGAGTTTTCGTTGAAGACGATTAGCCGTATGCCTATATTCGGGGGTGGGATATTTAGCTGCTCTCCGGAAAGCAGTTTTTTTAGCTTTTAATATGTTGCTAATATATAGGGGAAGCCCATTAGTATTAGCAACCGGAACGACCCTTTCATTCTCCTTAAGGGAGGATTTAATTAGGGTTGAAAGTGATTCGACCGCGGTGTCGATTTTTACAGGACTGTCTAAGTCTAAGTCCGACGATAGGTAATTAGGGGAGTCCTGCGAGTCCATAGCTTTTGCTAGTGAGTCCTTGAAACCCTTCCAGTTAGTGAAGGTTTTCGTAGTTATAATTGGGGGTGGCTGATGGCCAAGAATAAGAGAGACCGGTCGGTGATCGGATCCTATATCGTCTAGTGTCTCAATAGACCTGAGGTTGAGTGAAACTCCTTTGAGTAACGCAAAATCTAGTACATCTGGGTTATAATCGGTATTATCGGGATAGTGCGTTGCACCGAGCGGGCTGAAAACGGTTAAGTCAAGAGACTGCGTTATATCACGCAGTATCCTACCATTAGTATTAATCGTACGGCATGTCCATTCAGTATGTTTAGAGTTGAAATCTCCAAACATAATGACTGAATTACTTTGAGATAAGATTGCCTCAAAATCATCTTTGAGGGGGAGGTTTTTAGGGGGAATGTAACAGGAGGCTATGACTAAAGACTGATGTCCCGTCATAGATATCCTGCATAACGTAGCTTCCATATTGGTAAGCTGTGGAGTATCAATAAGAGAGCAATGTAGTGTCTTCTTGTAATAAATGGCCGTGCCGCCGCCTCGGCGGTCGTGCCTATCATTACGAAGAAGAGAATAATTTTTAATGGATAAGCCTTTATTGTCTGTGTGTTTAAGATTGGTTTCCTGTAAGAGGAGAAAATCAGCTTCGCGATCTTTAAGGAAGAGCTTAAGCTCTGGGAGATTATTACGCAATCCGCGAATATTAAATGAAATAAGCGATAGCCCTTTGGGCTTGATACGACCGTGACTTTTAGGCAGAGCAGAAGGCTCTGTCATTATAAGCTAAGTTAATTAAGTTAACTTAGCTTACAACGAACGCAATAAATTACTGTGTTCTGCGAGAGCCAAAAGCCGGTCCTGAGGGGATCGGGCGGCGCGCAGTTTACTCGCTAAAACCGAGATTTCGTTAATGTCGATGTTCCTTATCGCGGCGTAAACCGTGTTAAAGTCATCGCCTATTGTCGACTGTTTCTGCTGCGGAGCAGAAAATACCTGTGGCGGTGGATCTACCTTTTTGGGGCCCCAGGCAAAAACTGGAGCCTGCATAGGCTTTGAGAAGCCCGGTGGTGGCCTAAGCGGTGCCTGCGGTGGTCTCGGGGGACCCTGAGGGGGTCGTGCAAAGCCCTGAGACGGCTGAGATGCGCCCTGACGGGGCTTCCTAACATATAAGGCCGGGAATGAACGGTCATTTACCGGCGGTGGTGCCTGTCTTGCTATGCGCGGACGAGGAGCGCACGGGCATCCTCTGTAGCTCGCCGGGTGGCCTGTCTGTTGACACAGGACGCACGCGGGCGGGGATACGGCATCTTTAGGCCGGGGACACTCTTTGGTGATGTGTGGATCTAGGCACTTAACGCACCTGGGTGGGGCGGAGCAATTGGCCGCCGCGTGACCATATAGTTGGCAGCGGTGGCACTGCGCCGGGAAACCGCGCCTATGCGGTGACTCAACCCTAACTCCCGACAAGCCGCACACCGTGCGTACTTGCCGGAAGATGGTTTGCGCCTCCGGAACGTTGGTTAAGATAGCTAAGACTATCGGGTATCTCAACCCGGTCCTACTGTGCATTTTATGAATAGCTTCGACGGGGAATCCTTGTGACTTAAGGTCATCAAGAATCTCCTCGTTGGAGAGTTCGAACGGGACGCCTCGGATGACGGCCTTGACTTTACGCTCTTCCGGAAGAGCGTATGTATGGTACGATACTCGTTCGTTAGTAAAGAGCCTAGTGAGTCTGCGAAAATCATCAATAGATTGGGGAACTATTTTTATCGCTACGCCCATGTTCGTAGCTATGTCATATTTAATTCCAGAGTCGTAGCATACCTTGCTCAGTCTAGTGAACTCGGCCTTGTCTCTCAAAAAGACAGGGGGCGGAACTGGTTTTTTCGCGAGTTGCGGAGCGCAACGTGAAGCCGGCTTCGACGGCGCTGCAATATCTAAGGGGGTCGAGGCAGCGGCGGGGGCTGCGGAGGTAGACGCGGCAGCGGCGGGGGCTGCGGGGGTGGGGGGAGCGGCACGGGCCGCTTCGGCGGGGGGCGAACGGTTTTTCGCGGCGCGCTTCGCTGCGCGCTTAGACGACACCGTGGTGTACGACGATGTATTGGAGTCACCGGTATCATCGGAGTCAGAGGACTCCGATGTCCTGGTGCCGGACTGTTTGGCAGGCCTCTTCCGGGAGGCAGATGTTGATGACGCGGAATCGGAGTGAGAGCACTCCATGTCGATTTCGAGCGGCGCGAACGAATTACGTGACGCGAGGTAGTCCGCTATAACGGGCGGCGGTGCCTGAAGGGCGGGAGGAGCCAGAAGGGCTGTGATGGCTGCTGTAAGAGCTTGCGGGTCATTATGAAACCTATGGGCTATATCGATCAGGGGACCTAATAAATTCTGCAAGGACATTGTCGTTGGGGACTAACTAACAACTAACAAACTAAAAATAAACTAAAAACTATTAGAACTATCGTATGACGTGGGGGATCACCGTTCTCAAAAGAACGGGACGCTCTTATTCCAAGAAACAGACCCCTGTTCTCAAAAGAACAGGGACTTGCTCTGAAAAGAGCAAGTAACGTTTTACAAGAAACAGATACACGGAATATAATAAACAGATATGTAATAAAATATACTAATAAACTTATACACTAGTATCTAGTGTTCTACAATATAAACAAGCGGTCAGCCAACCTCCCCGACCGAGGGCGGGGGGGTGAGAACTGAAAGTTAGCAGGAAAACACTTACCGGACTTCAGCGCTAGGCGCCCACTATCTGAAGAGCGCGAGGCGCGGAGCGGGGGGGCACTAGCGTTGGGACGCTAGGCACGCGAACTACCTGTACACAACCGCTCGGGGGCGGTGCAACAGGTGGAATGCTGACCCTAGTTTTTTTTTTTTTTTTTTTTTTTTTTTGCGCCCGAAGCAATTGGAAAAGGGCTACCCCGAAGGGAGGCAGAAAATGCATTACGCATACCACGATGGCCGGTCCATCGTGGTTATGAGGGACTCACTACCTACAAGGGGGAACCTAAGTGATACCCTCTAAAAACTGCCTTTGGGGACTGGCAACCAGCTGTTGAAAGCTTCACATGCCGTATCGTAAAGCGACCCTCTTTTGGGAAAAGAGGGCGCAGGCGGCTATAAGCCGCTGAGGGAGTGCCTGGGAAGGCAAATTAATTATGAATAACTTAATTAGAGTTGGCCTGAGCCGCCAGGAGGCAGTTCAGGTCGTTTGAAAGTTTATTAGGCGGGTCCGAGAGGGAGTTCCTCGGCCTGCGGACGCTATAGCGGGAGGGGAGTGGGGCTGCATAATTAGCAGCCTCACGAATAAAATGATTGGAATGCGACTCTGAGGCTTTGAAGAAGTTCTCAGAGAGTTTTTTAAGGAATTGTTGAATTGTAGGGAGCTCTAGGTCCCGATGAAGGTCGGCATTGCGGACGTACCAAGGTGCGTTCGCAGCTCGACGACAGAAAAGGTTTTGAACTACTTGGAGTTCATTAATGATTTTAGGGTCAGCGTGGGCAAAAATGGAGCCCGCGTAGGACATGACTGGTCGTATACAGACCTTATAAAGGGTACGCTTGTTTCTGAGGGACATTTTACTGTGTCGGCCCAACATACTGTTGAGCCTATTCAGGTAAAAACGTGCGTGACGGGTTACTCTTTTGACGTGGGGCCTGAAAGTTAGCCCTGTGTCTAGAGTGACACCTAAATATTTGGCAGACGTATGCCAGGGGACAGGGGTCCCTAGCATACGTATTGGTGGAGTGTTTTTGAGACGGCGTCGTTTATAATCGAAGTGAACGGCGGAGCTCTTCTCCGGGTTCACATCGATGCGCCATTTTTTGAACCAAGCTCCTAGGTCATCAACTGACTTTTGGACCTTGTTCCGTATGAAAGGTAGCGAGATACCTTTGCAGTAGAGAGCAGTGTCGTCTGCGAAGAGGGAGAGCTGAACACCTTTCGGCGGAATGGGAATGTCGTTGGTGAACAGTATGTACAGCAGAGGAGCAAGAACTGAGCCCTGAGGGACACCAGCTTTGATGGGGCGCTGTGAAGATAGCGTGCCTTCGTGTCTAAAACGAAAGGTACGATGATTAAGATAAGAGGCCACGAGACGTACTAGACGATCGGGGAGACCTATTTTGTATAGTTTATAGATAAGGCCTGTATGCCAGACTCTATCGAAGGCTTTGGCGATGTCGAAAAAGACCGCGATAGTCTTATGACGACGGGGATAAAAACCGCTGAGGATATATTCCACAATACGGTGAACTTGTTGGGGGCAGGAGTGTTTCGCTCGGAAACCGAATTGATGGGGAATGATAAGAGGGTCACCGTCTGTGGGAAACAGATGGCGCCTCATGCGATTTTGAATGACTCTTTCAAAGAGCTTGCCCATGGCCTTGAGGAGGCTAATGGGACGATGACTGGAGGGGAGATTAAGAGGCTTGCCTGGCTTGGGAATACCAATCACAGTTGCCTCTTTCCACGTAGTGGGAAAGTAACTAAGGTTGAAGCAGGCATTGAAGATAATAGATAAAAGGGTTAGCACCTGCTCAGGAAAGTTTTTTAGGGCTTGGTTGGAGATGCCATCCGCACCCGGAGCCTTTTTAGGCTTAAGTCCTTTGATGAGGGATGAAAGCTCATCATTGGACACAGAGATAGGTTCGGAGGCTGTAGGGGGCGAGTTCCGGCGGCGGACCTCATCCTCCACTGCCTGGACGTGTGAGGGGTCTACGGGTTGAGAGCTAGGAGAGCATTGAGCGGCAATGCTGTCTGCAAAGCACTCAGCCTTTTCCTCGTCCTCGAAGGCTACCGTACCGTCGGGACGGGAGAGAGGGGGAGTGTGGAAGATAGCGTCTATGCGGAGGGCTCTTGCCATCTGATAGTACGCTGTATGAGAGGGAGAGATATTCTCCATGAGCTTACTCTTTTTGAGGTCTCGAAATTCAGAGAGGCGGAAACGGAGTTCTCGTTGAAGACGATTGGCCGTGCGCCTATATTCGGGCGTGGGATATTTTGCTGCTCTCCGGAAAGCAGCTTTTTTGGCTTTTAATAGGTTGCTAATATGCAGGGGAAGCCCACTATTATTAGCAACCGGGACGACCCTTTCATTCTCCTTAAGGGAGGTTTTAATAAGGGTGGAGAGTGAATCGACCGCGGTGTCGATTTTTTCAGGACTGTCTAAGTCCGAAGATAGGGAGATGGGGGAGTCCTGTGAGTCCAGAGCTTTCGCTAGGGACTCCTTGAAGCCCTTCCAATTTGTGAAGGTTTTAGTAGAGGGTGTTGGGAGTGGTGGCTGATGGCCAAGAATGAGAGAGACCGGTCGGTGGTCGGATCCTAGATCGTCTAGTGTCTCGATTGCCCTAAGGTTGAGAGAAACTCCTTTGAGTAACGCAAAATCTAGTACATCGGGGGCATAGTCGGTGTTATCGGGAAAGTGAGTAACACCGAGAGGACTGTGGACGGTAATATCAAGAGACTGCGTGATATCGAGCAGTAACTTGCCACTACGGGTGGTAGTACGGCATGTCCATTCAGTATGCTTGGAGTTAAAATCTCCAAACATAATGACTGAATTGCCTAGAGATAAAATAGCCTCAAAATCTTTTTTGAGGGGAAGGGTTTTAGAAGGGATGTAACAGGAGGCTATGAAGATGGACTGATGTCCAGTCATAGCTAGCCTGCATACCGTGGCTTCCATGTTGGAAAGTTGCGGAGTAGAAATGGGAGAACAGTGAAGTGTCTTCTTGTAATAAATGGCCGTACCGCCGCCTCGGCGGTCGGGTCTATCATTACGAAGAAGAGAGAAGTTTTTGATGGAAAGGCCTTTAGTGTCCTTAGTATGGAGATTAGTTTCCTGTAGGAGGAGGAAATCGGTTTCACGATTTTGAAGAAAGAGCTTAAGCTCTGGGAGGTTATTTCGCAAACCGCGAATGTTAAAGGATACAAGCGATAAACCCTTAGGTTTGATACGACCGTGGGATTTTGGTAGAGCAAACTGCTCTGTCATTGTGAGTTAAGTTAATTAAGTTAACTTAACTTACAATGAGCACAAAAGATTATGATGCTCTGCAAGAGCGAGGAGACGATCCTGAGGGGACCTCGCAGCGCGCAATTTGCGTGCTAACACAGCGATTTCCTCAACGTTGATGTTCCTAATTGCGGAATACACCGTTTTTAGGTCATCAGCCATTGAGGGCTGTGATTGTTGTGGTTGAGGGGCGGAGGATGTCCGCGGTGGTACTGCCTTTTTGGGGCCCCAGGGAAAAACTGGGGGCTGCATAGGCTGAGAGAAGCCCGGAGGGGGCCGAATAGTGCCCTGAGGGGGCCTAGGAGGACCCTGAGAGGGTCGAGAGAAGCCCTGGGTGGGCTGAGAAAGGCCCTGACGGGGCATCCGTTGGTAAAGAGCCGGGAATGAGCGGTCATTGACCGGCGGTGGAGCTTGCCTACTGGGGCGAGGATGAGGTGCGCAAGGGCAGCCTCTGTAGTTAGCCGGGTGGCCCGTTTGTTTACACAGGACACACGCGGGTGGGGATTCGGCGTCTTTGGGCCGAGGACACTCTTTAGTGTTGTGGGGTTCAAGGCACTTAACGCACCTGGGTGGGGCGGAGCAGTTGGCCGCCGCATGACCATACAGCTGGCAGCGGTGGCACTGCGCCGGGAACCCGCGCCTATGTGGAGGCTCAACCCTCACTCTCGACAGGCCGCACACTGTGCGTACCTGCCGGAAGATGGCTTTCGCCTCCGGCACGTTGGTTAAAATTACTAGGGCAAGAGAGAACCTCTGGCCTGTTCTACTGTGCATTTTGTGCACGGCTTCTACGGGGAAACCTTGGGACTTAAGGTCCTCAAGGATTTCTTCGTTTGAAAATTCGAAGGGGACGCCGCGGATGACGGCCCTGACTTTGCGCTCTTCCGGAAGAGCGTATGTATGATAAGAAACTCGTTCGGCTGTGAATAGCCTGGTGAGTCGCCGGAAGTCGTCGATTGATTGGGGGATGATCTTAATAGCCTCCCCGAGGTTGATGGCGTGGTCATATTTTATGCCTGCGTTGTAGCAGGTTTTGGAGAGTTCTGTGAATTTAGCCTTGTCTCTTAGGAAGACAGGGGGCGGGACTTGCTTCTTGGCAAGGACTGGAGCACAGCGAGAGGCTGGCTTGGTCGGAGCGGGAATGTCTAGTGACATAAGTGGGGCTGAGGCAGCGGCGGGGGCTGCGGGGGCAGAGGCGGCAGCGGGAGCTGCGGAGGTTGAAGGAGCGGCAGGGGCCGCTGAGACAGGGAGGGTGCGGTTTTTAGCGGCGCGTTTACCGTTGCGCTTGGAGTTCACCGTGGTGAACGAAGAATCCCCGGTTCCGTCGGAGTCACAGGACTCCGATGAGCCGGTGCCAGAATTGGTGGC